ATAATCAAATGCAGGCAAATTATAGCTGTAAATTTATGATAACATTTGCAATACTGAATCTTTGAAAAACAAACTGTAATGGTGTTTCAAGTGTGATTCTAACACATTATCACAAATGTAGTCGGTTTCATTTCTAAAGTAATCTATTATATCTATGTAGAACATGTATATGAGGTATACATGGCATAATACATATTTATAATCTTATACTTTGGCATGTCAGATGTCCGACCTAGTTCTTGCTGGGCAAGTATCAGATTATCAGTATAAATTTGTTTTTCCTCACCTCAAAGGGAAGCCTACATGCTTTGAGTCATGACCTTCTTTGTAGGCTGCAAAACTCTTTGCCTCCCCATCTTGAAAGTTTTTCTAACTTTTTTGTGAGCTTATGTGATTAAAAATTTGCCTACCTAGGTAGTGCAGGACATTCATCCATGTCAATGTTTTGAATTTGATCAATTCTTTTAAATCTGCTGTATTATAAATAGTGATATAGTCACAGTTTATAGGAGTGGCCAAGTGGATATACTCTGGAGCCACAATTCTGTCCATAACAAAACTATAGGTTGAGAAAAATCATGAGTTAAATAATGGGGATATTAAGCATCCTAAACAATGTTAAGGATGTGTGGCATGCAAAATAATGGTATCATTATTAGGTAGTAACTCTGTGCTAGCCACTGTTTTCTTTAAAGCTTTCTACATGTTGATGTTTACTTAAAATAACCTATTGCGTCACTACTGTCCCATTTCATAGATAAGAAAACCAAACCTTACTTGTTGATGAATGGCATAACTTGAATTTCTAAAGCCAATTGCCCTTCTGTAGAGCTTGTGAACTTGATAAACAACTCGAATATATGTTCTTGATCCATTGTTGAGTAAAAAGAATCAGGCTAAAGTATGTCCCCTGCCATATAATCCTATTTTTGTAGTAACATGATGCATAATATGACAGAAATAATCCCTAGCAGTCAGAAGTGTTGAGTGACTGTTTTCTGATTTCTATTGGCTGTCAGTATTTAAGAAATATTATTTTCCTGATAGCTGTTGTTATCCAAACAAGGAAAACTATCCAAGTTTGTATAACATATTAAATAGGTTAAATATGCTGGTGACTGTGAAGGTAATTATTCTTGTTATACTTACAAAATACAAGGAATGCAGACAGAATAAAATGCAGAGTGGACTAGCTCAGTGGAGTTGTGAAGCCAGCCTTGAACTTTGGCTCTGGCTGAACCAATGTGATGAAGACTCTAATTTGCTAACTGGCTGTGCACCTACTGCAGTCAGGGAGTTGTCCTGAAAGATAAATGAAGTAAGTATAAAACAACCTTGAAAAAGTACTCTAAAGCAGGATGGCAAGGTGAGCCAGATGGAGGTGTGGAATATGTAACACATTTTCCCCACAGAAAGAAGTAATTAACAATAGTTATGTCACCAGACTAGTCAACAAAAGCCCTTAGCACCTTATAGCTAAATAGCTTATGACCTCCTTTCTAAATGAAAATGCAATCGACATTCCAATTTGAGACATCTCTCCCCTCAATGCACTTCTGTGGGACAGCCATGATTCTCTCAGCTGTGATTAATGTTTCTTCCAGTAAGGCACTTAGTTTCAGGGACACTAGGAAATGGAACAAAAAGGGCACAGCCACCTCAAGAATGGAATTGTATCCCTAAGTAGGGCACCTTTCCAAAAGCTAGCCACTATCTACAGTGTTTTTGAAGGATGTGATCTGAATTTAGTTTAGAGATAACAAAGTAGGTGTGAACACTCATAATATATATATATATATATATATATATATATGCAAACACACATATACATACACACACACACACACATATAAAATCACCCCTGGATGAATTTCCAAAAGAATGATGAACAAGTACAGCAAAACCTCAATAGGGAATACATAAGTGGATTTTCCAGTGCCACAAAGTGACTTCATAATTCTGCCACTGACATGTGCCTCTGATCAAGAGATGCGGTTTTTCTGTGTCTTTAAAATGGGCTTTTGTTTCTTGTAAGTAAGGAGACTAAGTAGATTTTTGCCAGTAAAACACATAGTTATGCCAGTATATTTATTAGGTATACACAGTCAATGGTCCGCATGGGTCACATTTGTGGTTCATTCTTCTAAGGTCAGAAATAACAACCAGGTGCCAGTGGCTCACGCCTGTAATCATAGGTACTCAGGAGGCTGAGATCTGAGGATCACAGTTCAAAGCCAGCCTGAGCAGCAAGGTCTATGAGACTCTTACCTCCAATTAATGACCAGAAAACCATGGTTCAAGTGGTAGAGCACTGGCCTTCAGCTGAAAAGCTCAGGGACAGCATCTAGGCCCACAGTTCAAGCCCCATGGTGGACAAAACAAAACCCAATCCTCTCCCTCCCCCACACAAAAAAAACCTGTGGTTTTGTTTCAGGAATTTCTCTAGGTGGTGTTTCTCAGGATGCAGGGGCTTTTCTCAGTGATTTATTTTGGAGGTCATACCAGGGAGCAGTGGTAGAGGAATGGAAATGAAGCAGAGAAGGAAAGGAAGGAAAGGAAACAGTGAGATGGTTATTACTGGAGGTTACAAAGGCTCAGTAACAGGTTACCGATATGGTCCAGACTTGGGTCTTGGCGTTCCCCACCTGTGAAGGGAAAAACCTAGGGTCTGTATCCATCATCTCTTGTCCATTACTGGTTAAGGGTTGGTTTCAAGGTAACAACTTCAGTTTGCAAGGAAACAGTCACAAGTATTCATGGAAGATGGCATGTATTGGGACATGACAGTCCAGGAATTAAGGATGGGCACTGGCAGAGTGGGTTACCGTATGTTTTCCTTTAGCTTGCACAGTCAAGATGTTATTCAGGTTGATATTGGTTGCGGGCAAACTAACTCAGGACTAGGAAGGCATACACACAAACACATTAATGCGTGGCTACATTTAAAAAGGTAAAAGAACGCTTCGGATAATATGACATTTAGGTCTTCAATATTTAGTACGAAACTCTAGTTTTCTCTTCATGGCAATGCTAACGGAAGGCTAACATGGATCAAGACAGATTTTGCTTCTAGATCCTTCTGGCCTCATTTCACTGTAGGTTATGGGAATATCTGTTACCCTCCAGGTCCTAGGATGTGGAACGCCTCACCATTAAGCGCTTTTCACAGGAAAAGCCTATGTTAAAAGAGACTCTCATGGCGGTAATAAAAATCTCCGCTTTCATACATTTCACAGATCAAGTCACTTTTTTGGCTTTCTAGGATTGACAAACCACTTTTAGAAATGCAGTCCCAGACTCCTGGAAAATGGAGTCCCTACGCTCTAATTCCATCTCGAGATAGTTATTCTGCTGGGTCATAACATTTACTCAAAGAAAGCAATCGGTTAGGATCCTTACTGTGATTCCAAGCATACATGTATCTTGCTCAAATTCCATTTTCTCAGTAGAGTCAAGTCCCACTTGCCAAGGAAAGCTCTTTGCCTGATGCGGTTTCATTAGTCCTAGGTCCACTGAGAAAGCTGTTGGCGAGACGCTTGTTGGTTTTGAGCTCCTGTAACTGTTAACCCCGCTCGGGACTTCATCCCAATGAGTGGTTTCCCAGGGGAAGCGTTTCAACACCAACCTCTTCACTTCCTGGCAAAAATCACGAATGCTTCCCCTAGCTGCCTAGGGCTATAAAAGAAACTCGGCCTCCGAGTCCCCAGCACCTCCAGAGCGTCCGCGTTTTGCCCGCAGGTGGCAGCAGCGAGCTCCGGAGCGCGTCCGTGCAGGTGCGGGCGCCGCCGCACCGCTCCGGGCCGGAATGCCACCAGCTGGAGAGCACGACCTGCGGGGACGGGACGGTCCCCGAGGCTGAGGTAACGGAGTGCGAACGTGATCTCGGATCCTTTCACTTCATTATTTGGGGGAGTGAACACAGTTCCAAGCAGCCACAACAAACTCACAGCGGCGCCTTGACGCCCGCTGGCTCCCCAGTTTTCCCAACTCCAGCGGCAACTCCATCCATCGGCTCCCGCCTGGTTTTGCTCCGGGAACTCTCAGCTCCCGGGAGACCCGGGGCTGAGAACCGGGCAGTCGTGTGGGGGTCTCCGCACCCCGGCTCTCCTCGCTTTCGAGGGCGTGGAGGGGGGGGAGCTTTTCCCTACTTGAGCCTTCGGGGCGCCCCGGGTGAGGATGCCTCCCCTGCGTCCCTACATCCCCCGGCCCATTCCTTAACCCTCCTCTTCGTCCCTTCCCCCCCCCCCCCCCCCCAGCCCACACTCGCACCCAAGCCTGCGCCCACGCTCGAGCTGGCGGCTCGACACCCACCCCAGCAGCCACGGCCGCGCCCCGCGGCGCCCTCCCCACCCAGACGCCGCCCAGGCTGCGGGCGCCCCCCCACCCCCGTCGACCTGGGAGAAGTGGACGCCCTGGGAGGGGGCGGCGGGCACCAGGTGGAAGGGTTCGGAGGAGGAGGACCGCGCGAGGGGAGGGGCAGCGCCGCCCGCGGCCCGCCCGCCGCTCGGACCCCGCACCGGCGCGCGCCTCCGCACCGCGGCCGCCGGGGTGCTCGCCGAGTCCGGACGGCGCAGCCCGGGCCGCGCCCCGCCTCCTCCCGCCCTCCCGCGCGCCGGGACCGCCGAGCCCGGCGTAGAGCAGCCGTGGGCGGCGCAGGGAGGCGGGCAGCGCCCCGCGCGCGCTTCTGCCGCCCCCGGAACCGGCGCGCGAGAGTGCGGGGCGAGCGCGCCTCGGGCGGCCGGGGCGGGCGGGCGGGCGGCGGCCGCACTGGGGCCAGAGCCGCGCGGGGGGGAGCGGCGGGGGCGACCCTTCGGGGGCCCCGATGCCCGAGGGCGCGGCGGCGCTGCCAGGCTGCCGCTGCTGCCCTGCGGGCCCCGGGCGCGTCTCCGCGGGCGGCGCTGCCCGCGGCGCGGCGTGTGCACCGAGCGAGTGAAGGTATGTGCGGCGGGCGCGGCTGGAGCCGCCGCCGCCGCCGCCGCCGCGCCAGCAGGTCCTAATGCCTGTCCCTTCCCAGGACGCTGGCAGCACCAGCCCGGAGCCCCCGACCCCGCGGCAGGTTTGCCTGTCCTTCCCCGCGATCTGATTGGATAAAGTGGGGGCTCGACGGTGGCCGACGCGGGACAGTCTGGCGGTGGCAGGGGTCTCGGAAACCATGGGTTATTGCAGTGGCAGGTGCACGCTGATCTTTATCTGTGGCATGCAACTGGTAAGTGACACTTGGGTCCTCTTATTCGGTAATGTGTCTTTGAGGTAGTGGGCCGGGGAGTTGCAGTGACAGGGTCTGCCTTTGATGAGGACGGAAGAAAAAAAAAGATAAAAGAAAAACAGAGGTGACAGATGTATTGCTTCTATTTAAAATGATTTCAGGGAGACGCACGGTGGGGACAGGAGAGGTGAACCTTTCTTTCTGCCCCTCATCTATTTCTGTCCCTCTAAAGACAGTTTGGCAGGTGCAGGTTAAACTTGTTACATTTATTGATTGATTGATTGATTTCATTTTAAAGCAAAGCAAGGTGTAAGTCTTGTTTCTTTACCCTTTGCACCCCCATTGATAGAACAACGAGATCGTCACGTACATTTTTACTGTACAGGTGTTATAAAGAAATATAGAAATTCAGATTTCTCTTCTGTATTCTTAGTTTGGTGTCTTTGTTTCTTCCTTGACGTGTTGTTTTTCTAAGGATATATTGCTTATAATTACCATGCTCTGATAAAACATTATGTAGGGCAGTGATATTCTTAGAGCAATGTGATTAAGAAGCCACATTGAGTTTAGAAAGTATGTGGATTGAAGAGGACTACTTAGATGAACTCACCGACACCACAGCCATGAGCAGAACAAATAACCTTTAAATAATAATCACTACAGATAGAAGAAAGAAGCTCAGGCGTTATGCATGCCACGACTTCTGAAATAGATACTGTTGTCTGATCCCTGATGGAGAATTATATGTACTTTTTAAGGAATGCTATACAGTTGCAAAGAGACAAGAAGCCAGTCATGGAAAATGCCATGTCTCTAAGGGGGATGGCAGGAGAGCTGAGGAGGGAATACAGAAAATTATAGCACTGTTAAATGGTTAATCTGAAGTAGGAGGTTTCCTAGAAGCTGATGGAACCATAAGACAGAAGGAGATTTGTGAAAGTCCAATCAGAAAGAAGTGTTCAAAATTGTAAGGACTTATTAAGACTGATAGAATTCCTCAAGTTTGTGTCATCAGTTGTCCCTTATCATGAAGTCCACAAGTGTTTGTTGTTGTTCTGTTTAATGTTTAACAAAAGCAGTGCTTTCTGTGGTATGTTTTCTCAAGATGTTCTTCTTTCTCAGAAGTTATTTGGTGATGTGTATTTTGAACTGAGAATTGTGTAACTTATGCAATTGTTTGTAAGAAGAAGATGGAACTATAGATAGAATTTCAAGAACATTGTGTTTTCTCTGTGGTGTGTAAATCAGTTTATTTTTCTCTGCTAGAGATTTATATAAGTTTTTGCAATAAAGGTTTTTTTTTGCCACCAATGATAAAGCTGACCAATACACTGAAAAAGTTTTCTTTGTTAAACCACCCATATAGGGCAAGATTTTAAATTGTATAAACATTTTCAAAACAATCTTATTTCTATGTATGAAACAGAAGAGGTTGCATTTTCTAATTCACAGTATAAAAGCCTAAAACTGAGAGTCAGTGAGTGAGTTAGAGTATTCTTATTCTACTTCATACTTTAAAGACACCATTTAGCCCTTAATCATGTAGTTTCTCAGGGCTTTATTACTGGAGTAGGAGGGTGTAGATATTACATCGGTGGCACTGTGTGTGATGAATGCAAACTCTTCAAGAACTTGAAAAATTAGAAAAACCTAAGCATACCCATGAGAAACTAGATATACAGAGTAGCACGATGCATGTAAAGGTGTGTGTGTTCATACGTGTGTGCATGTGCATGCGTGTGCACACTTGGCCAATAGTGCAAGTGTGCATGTGCACATGCATACATGCATGCAGTGGTGCAGTAGAGAAATACTATCTCACTTATGGAAAGGAAACTCTGCCATCTAAGTTCTTTAACAAAATAGAAGTAGTTGTAATACAGGAGCATGAATCTTAGCAAGCAAATGTTTGAATCCTAAAGAGTATCTTGTACTTTCAAAGTGTGATGTGATTTTTTTCCCTACTCATACTGTATGTGCTACCAGGCTAACACAATTAACAAAGGACAAAGAAAATCTAATTGTTGATAGGGTGGAATAGACCTTACAGGACTTCAGAAACTCTTGGCAATTGTTACTACTTATAAATAAGTAAAACCTCTTGTGCAATTATTAGTTGCAGAAATGTGGACTAAAATATAGGTAGACGTATATATGTTACCTTTGCTTTAGATATTTTCTTTTTTGCTTTATGAATCTTTTAGCTGTTAGTCAAGACTGTTCTTACAAATAAACCAGGTTCTCAGACTAAGTTATTACCTGTGTACCAATGGCTGACATAAGTCATTCAGTTTTGTTCCCTTCTAAAATATTCAGAGTTATTACAATATTTACCTTTTGGCTTTGTAGTTGTATGGAAAAGTCTTAAATTAATTGAACTTACTGGATCTCACAAATAGTCTAAGATAAAAATAATTTATTATATAACTTTATTAGGTTTCTGAAAACATTATCTTCCAAGCCTACAGATAGTATGTTTGCATTTTAAATAAAGGAATATGTATATCTACATCAATTTTGATGTAATCTTAGGAAAATACAAGTTATCTTTGGGTATTGTAGAAGTAAAAGGCATCATGCATCAGACTATTTTCAGAGCAGATACAATATTTTGGTCATTTAACCAGTGAAGGAGAGAGACCAATGCTTCGGAGGGATCAATTGGTCAGGATTCTATATCTTTGCCCTTAATTATTTTGAATATACTGATATTATTTGACAGGCTAATCATTGAGATAAATGTATTTTTTAAGTCAGAAAATAAGCTTGTAAGACAATAAATTAGAATTCTGTGCATTAGATATGATAGCCAACTTCCAATTTATGAAAAAAACTGTCCATGTATAATATAACTTGAAATATATGAACTGCATACTTATGCTAGTCTTGGATTTTAGGGTGATTTCTTCAAAAATGGATGAGATTTCTGAAAGCAGATTGGGTGTATGGGTAGAATCTGGGGTTTAAACTCATACTCTCAAGAAATTAAACTTGTTTGCCATGGCTCTCCTTAATGCTGAGAAACTGAAGATTTCAGAGTTCCCAAAATGTTTACACTTGAATTTTCAGTGATGGATTTATTTAGTAGTATAGGACAAGAGCAATTTAACTTATTTACAACTTTCAGCATCTTGTGAAAGAGTTTGGCATCTTTTTCAGTGTTTATTTGAATCAGAGTATACAAATGCTGAAAAAAGTAATGTGGTATTTTGCAAGGAAAAAAAAATCACCCAGTTACAATATAGAAGAATAGAACTCATTTTGGATTCTAAAGACAGCTTTGTTGTCAAGTAGGGAAGCTCAAACTCGCCCACATTTTGCACATCAAATTCTTGTGTGGCACAAAGCGTATGTGGCATCAGCTTTTGAAGGAAAAAATCTGGATTTACATTCAACAGATTAAGACAAGAACATGCTATTTTTATCACGCATCTCCTTTCTGAAATATTGCTTACGCGGAACAGGTGCAGCTAACAATTAGGTTAGTACGCGTGTGTGTTGCTCCCAGTGGCAAAACGTTGGAAACTAAAGAATGACTGGTAGCTTTGGATGATACAATTATTATGTTTATGACTTGTATTTAAAGTCATCACAAGGAGAGAGACTTAATGAAAAAAATTATAATTATGAAATGCTATAGGTAAATTTGTGATTTCGGTACAATGCTCATGATTTGTTTGACATTTGGTTACTATTTAGAAGTTAAAGCACTTAACACGAAGGAGTCTTGAAGAGTGCAGGTAGAATCTTGTTCTTTTTGACAGTTCTTCGAAAGTTTATAGATGATAGCTTCCTCTGCTCTGAGTACTTTGAAGTTCACATTGATGAAATCTTGACATCGTTAATGGATCTGATTCTTGGAGAAGACTCATGCAGTACTTTAGAAAGTTACCAACTAGAAATATGCAATCAGTTTACCAACCTGTAAAATAACTCTCTTTTTCATAATGTTTGCTACTTCTCTATGAAGTAGTATGAGGTATGCTTTTGTTTGTAATTCACCCTTCCATAACAATGTAGCACTACTTTGCCTACTTTGTTTACTAGGATAAAAGGTAGAAATTCCTTCCACTGTCCATACTCCAGCTCTATTTTCTGGTTAACAAATCAGGTAGCAACTTCTTGTATTACCATATGTACTTAGTCAGGAATAGGTAAACTTGACTCCAGTAGAGCTTTTTCTTGTTTTTTTCAAGTGAAAGGATGTGTAGCATCCCTTGTATGGTATGCTAGGGCAACGGCCCAGACAAGAAAATGGATACCCCCCCTCATTTTTTCTCTCCTGCTGATTTACTTTCAGGCTGAATTTTCTACTTTGCTAGGTAAGAATCTCAGAATGGGCCAAGTGCTAATTGATCAAGTTTATGATCCTACCTACTCATGAGGCTGACTTCTGAGGTAGTTCAGAGTCAACCATAGGCCAGGTTTTGGTGGCTCATGTCTGTAATCCTAGTTATTCAGGTTCATGGTTCGTAGCCAACCTCAGGTAGAAAAGTCCATGAGACTCTTATCTCCAATATATTACTCAGAAAAAGCTGGAAGTAGCCTCGTGGCTCAAGTGGTAGAGCACTAGCTGTGAGTGGAAGCAGCTTTGGGAGGGACAGCACACAGGCCCTTAGTTCAAGCCCCAGGACTGGCAAAAAAAAAAAAAAACCTTAGTCAAAAACTCTGCAACACTCTATCTTAAGTTAATCAGCAAGGAAGGAAGGAAGGAAAGAAAGGAAGGTAGAGAGAGAGGGTAGAAGGGAGGGAGGGAGGCTGGCTGGACAGGGGCACTTGCTCGCTGGGAGTGAAAAAGCTGAATTGAGAGCGTGAGGCCCTGTGTCCCAGCCTCAGTAAATTATACTACTAACTTTATTTCACAACTGTATGGACTTGTAGTAACTAAAAATTTAAAAACTGGCTTTCAAGTTAGGCTATTTGGTAGAATTTCAAGCAGCCTAAGGCTGTTATTTCTGTAATTCTGAAGTCATGATTACTTATAATTAAACTACACTATT